AAAACTGCATTTAGAACAAGGTATGGTCATTATGAATATCAAGTGATGCCTTTTGGAGTAACCAATGCACCTGCAGTGTTCATGGATTATATGAATAGGATTTTTCGTCCATATTTAGACCATTTTGTGGTGGTCTTTATAGATGATATCCTCATATATTCTCGAACTCACGAAGAGCATGAAGAACACCTTCAAACTGTTCTCCAAATCCTGAAAGATAAACAATTATATGCCAAACTTTCTAAGTGTGAATTTTGGTTAGAGGAGGTTAAATTTTTAGGACATGTGATCTCCAAAGACGGAGTGTCTGTGGATCCGTCTAAAGTAGAAGCAGTTCTGTTATGAGAACCTCCAAAGACAGTGACAGAAATCTGTAGTTTTTTGGGTTTAGCAGGATATTATAGGAGATTCATGGAAGGATTTTCTAAAATAGCCATGCCTTTAACTCAACTCAGTAAGAAAGGACAACCCTTTGAGTGGACAGAAAAATGTGAGAATAGTTTTCAAGAGCTTAAGAAAAGATAAACCACTGCACCAGTCTTAACCTTACCCAATCCTAATGGACAATTTGTCATATTTTGTGATGCCTCAAAAATGGGATTAGGGTGTGTTCTTATGCAGGATAGAATAATACCGCGAAACTTCTAGATCTAGAGAATAGGCCTTAAGAGTTGAAAATATATATAGGTATTGCGTTTGTTTTTAACTGTTTACGCCGTTTTTCATGTATTTACACTAATTTTGACCGCTAATTGTTGGTTGCATTTTTTGTAGAGAGAATGGCAAGTTTGGTAACTCGTGAAATGATGAAGCTTTGGAAGCAACAAAAGGCGTCCCAAACTGTTGGTGTTGATGAATCGGCAGCCGGGAGGGTCGTGGTGGCCGAGAACCTTGTGGGGTTGGTGAGAAACGTGGGCGAGTCCTCGCACAAACGTCGCCGCGAATCCGACAAGCCAATCTCGGTGGTGAACTTGGAGACAGTCGTGGCTTCGAAGGAGATAAGGGCGATACGGAGGTCCAGTCGGTCGAGAGGACTATCAGCGCATACACTATCAATATATTCTTATTAAATAACTTCAAAAAATCATTTTAATATATTAATTAAAAACATCAAACTCGTTAGCCTTTAGGCGAACCAATCAGCAGAGGAAATACTCCTCAATCGATCAATGATCCAGACAAACTAGTAAATATCAGTGTCTGAAAAATGCATTTTAAATTTATGGTTTAATTATAACTTTAGTCCTCGGATTAAGATGTATATTTTTTTAATCCCTCACATTTAAAATCTATATTTTCAGTCTCTAAAATATAAAAAAATTATTGTTTTGCCCTTCAAGTGTAAAATTTATTTTTTAAGCCCCTGTAATTTTAAAAAATATATATATTATTTTAATCATTAATATCATAATAGTGAGACAAATTGAGGACTAAAATAATAAATTTTAATGTTTTGGGAAGGAATAAAATAATAAGCTTTAATATTTTGAAGACTGCAAACAAATTTTAAATGAGGGACCAACACAGTATTATTTGAAATTATAGAAACTAAACACAAAACTTACATTTTTCAAAATTTCAAAACTTAAAAACATATTTAAGTCTGGTTTTATTTACAGCAGGCGATTAAATTGTATTTATCAGCAGCAGACAAAATCGTGCAGATTATTTTTAAGAACTAATCTCGACATTTTATGATTCAAAAAACTTCATATTATTTAAAAGACTAAAGTTTACATATTTTCAAAAACAAAATACGGGTTTTACAACAATATCAGTATAAATCCTCAGAAAAGAATCCAAAAGATTGGATGCAGGGAAAAATGCACAATTATCAACAACAAAAATTGAGGCGAGAACCCAAAATAAATACTAGAGAACAAATTATATTTGGCTCGGGAAGATTTCCATATTTTAGATACTATCGAACTAAACAAGCACCAAACCAAAGACACATCCACATGGCCATTGCCAATTTTCCATTTGGCTGAAGCTTACTTACAAGGGAGAAAGAAAGTGAAGTCATAAGAAGAAAGACTAAAATTGAAAGCGCCTTTAAATTTGAAGGGAAAATACTACTTAAGGAGTTGCTTTCGAAATATTTGACACACAATATTTTAATCAAACAGTCCCCTTCAGCACAGTTGACAAAGACCATAAAACAACTATGAAGTCATGGAGATGGAAATATGAAGCTTTTTGGGGCATTCCCCAATATGTTCTTGAATTCAGAAGGAAGGATCCACAAAGCATTACACACTATATATTGCATACAGCATATGCAATACCATCTATACCATCTTGGATGCTAAAAGTAGGTTCCTTCAGGAGGCTGCACAAGCTTTCGGTTATGAGGAGCTGCCATTTCTTTCTTCAGCTGAGTCAGTATATCCTCCATGGTGTACTCTCTTTGCCAATTTGCAAGAAGACCAAATTTCTTTGGTTCAACCTGTTTCATTTACAAGTCCATAAATCTTGCCACACAGATAATCAATCAGTTATTAAGTTTCCAAAATCCCACATCAAACTTGATTACATCTCTAATAACAAACATCTCAAGTTATCACCGATTGTAAAATAAAAGTTGAAAACACTGCTATTAGCACAGTTTATATATCCCAGCATGCACTGCACAAAAATACTTGTAAAATGAAAGCATGTGAAAAATTATATAAATGATACCACTCCAGTTTCATGATTAACACAAGTCATGTTGATCCGTGAATGAAATCGAACACTTGGGGGCTTTTCTGGGTAGTCTTTATCACAAAATAGCTTCAATTGATAAATTCTTCCTTCGTGTACAGTCTGACACACAAGACAAATGAGGAGAACATCTAATCAAATTCTTAAATTTGGACATAAAACATGCTGTCATATACAAGAGTATGTTTCAAGAAATGCTATAACATATGCTACATTGCTGAGTTGAGAGTGAGGAGATCAATTTTAGACCGTCTAACTTCCATGCATGGACGGTTCTGTTTCGGATAAACTAAGTCAACCTTTGCCTGTGAATTTAAATTTTTCAACCGCAAAAATGAGTTGAAGTTTTTTCTTTGACTAGATTCAAACTGCAAAAATGACCACTTTTTATGTGGGAGCTATTTGATAGGTCTTAGAGCAAGTCAAACGCATATATACATTGGTTTAAATTGCATATATGATCTTTTTTAAATAGAAAAATCATTACTACTCAAAAATTATTGTTTATTATAAGATTATTAATATTGTTTAATGTGTTTGATAGAAATATCTTATATTGATACAATTATAGTTTTTATATACCAAACTTAGTTAACTTTTAAAAAGAAAAATTAAAATAATTTTAAATGATTGGGGACCAATTGACCCAACTCAATCCCATTTATGACTGGGTCAGTTCAATTTGAGTTTGACAAAAATTACACAAATATGACCCGACCCAACCAGTAAACATTCGATCGGGTTGGGTAAATTTGGCTAAACCCAACCCATGAACACTCCTAAGTTCCCGTGTAAAATTTCTGTGGCCGGCCTTTGATCTGCCACAGGTGATTGATAAATATAATTGGACGCACATGCATAAAGATGAATCCACAATGCTGGGGGAGAAATATTTACATTATGGGGGCCTATAATGGTGCCAGTCCAAGAGCGCATGTAAATGTCATCACCATCATCCATTCCATAGCTAACCGTGCCGTCTCCAATTCCTTTTTCTCCACGTTCAAGTTCCTCCAGCAATCTGAAGTTCCTTGGAACTGCATTTAAGCGTACAAATATTTAACAAAACACACTCACAATTTTCCAACATGTTAGAAATAAGCTTTATTACAATAAAACAATATATCTACCCATTGTATGATTCATGCATGACAACAATATCATATATCGTATGATCCATTCTCAATTCAAGGTCCAAATCTCAAGGTCTAGGACAATTGTACCACAAAGATTTAACTAATACACTATAGCGAACCCTCTACATTCACAACAAATTTAGAATAAAGCTTAGATTTGCGGTGTTTTATAGCATAAACATGAGCCGTAGGCAAAACATTAGCCGACAACAAGAACAATTGCAGCAACATTAACCAACAACAAGAACAATTACATCAACATTGGCTGACAAAAGGAACAATTACAGAAACATTAACAGACAAAAACAAAAACTACAGCAATGACAAAAATTGTTGCCCCACTATGCGACAATGGTTTTATTTCCTTCCATTTTACAGAGACACATCCTCATTTTGAATGTGTTTAGCCTCTTCCCTATCCATGCATTTTCCAATAGGAGAAATCAGTTAATGCTCTGTGTAAGAATGCTTTAGGCATAAATAAGTATTTAGTTTACAAGAGTGTGCATGTTATTGACAGAAAAAGTACCCAAAAGATTGACTATCGATTTAAGGCATCACTATCAATCCCACTACTTGAAATCCAAAAACATGCACCACTTCAAAGCAAGGTTTAAAATAAAATGTGGTCGCAGTGACACTCGTCATAACTTAAGGAAATTACGGAAACAATAAAAAAAAAGACGTTGACATTGGAGCTGAAATCACCGTCCTACACCTTTTTATAAAAGTTCAAAACACACTTATCCTCGTAAAGGCTCACTTCACTTCAATGCATGAAGCTCATAACATATGAACAGAACCAAAAAGTTACAACTCACAACCTCCAACAAACAATTGAAGCATCAAAACACACATTTCAGAAAAACATACAAATCCGCAAAAACTGCAACAAAGGGTTATGCCCATGATCACAAGACAACAAACAAAAGAAAATTGAACAACATCTCAGTTAAGTAATTACTAAAGTTTAAAAATTGTGAATGTCAATTTAAAAAAAAAAAAAAAAAAACAAATCCCAGTTAGGAAACCCCAGTCAACGATCCAGAAGTCCTCCGACGTTACGAACAGAGAAACCCCCAAAAGGGAAATAAATAATAATAATCATTAAGTAAAAAAAAAAAAAAAAAAAAAAAAAGCAAACGGCGAGTGTGTTAGGTCAACGGCGACAAGGAAGGAACAAAATCGACGGAGGCAGAAGGGAAAATCAGCGAAAGCTAAAAAAGGGAAAAGCAAAACGGCGTCGTTTATAAGCGTAGAGAAGTGGAGGGACTGACCCACGACACTGGATCCTCCTGAGCCAAGCGTCATGGATGGGTGGAGTTGCGGATCTGATGGAAAGAATGGAAATTTGGCGAGCGAAGAGGGAAGCGTGGTGAGAGGAGAATCTGGGTGGTGGCCAAAGGCGATGAATGATGAAAGGGTGGGAAATGGGAATAAAGAAGGAAACGAGGGATTTTGTAGAATGATAGAAAACCGAAAAGGGTGAACAAGATTTTTGATTTTCGTAAACACTAAACACCACCATTGGTTCCCCTTTCGTTTTACGTATGGACCTACGGGCCCGTTCTACTTCGGCCCACTCCTGTCTAAAATGTTTCTATTAGAGGCTTCCATACATACAATTCTATACTTAGTAATGTAATATTTTTGCTTTTAAATTCTTACAAATATCCTTCAAAACAAAATATTCCTTACAAATACTGCTCTGTCTTATTTTAGTTTTCCTACAAAATTTTGTCATTTTTAAAATTTCAACAATTTTTTTTCTTCTGTTTTAATCCTTATTATAAATATACGAGGGATTAAGGTGTTTCGTATTTTCAATAATTATATACAAATAAATATTAAAAAATTGTAAATAGTTATTAAGAGAAAATATAAGAAGATTTTTTTACATCTTAAAAGTACAATGGTTCACTAAAAAGTGGAGATTAAAAGTAATTATATATTTCAATATTTCCTTTATAATATGTATAGATTAGTAAAATCGAGACATTTCACGTCTTTATATCTATTTTATCTTAACATGAAAAATAATTCATTTATTAAACTAATTCATCCATTGGTAAAAATAATTTTATATTATTTATATAATTGTTTTTCTTATTATTCATTGATGAAGAATATATTAATTGTGTTGTAATATTGTTAAACTATAAATATTTATCATTTTTTTCACTTATATCTCTATTTTTTTCTTAAAATCTAGTTTTTCTTTATATTTATAATAATAATGGTTAAAATATATTAAAATTTTCATGCTCCTCATGATTATAACTATAATCATATATTAAAGTTTAAAAAAAAGTATATATGTTTTATCTTCAATATAATGCTTTGTAATCATAAAATTTAAAATCAAATAATTATTTCACTTCAGGATGATTTTTAGCTTCCTTGCAATTTATGAAATAAAATAAATGTCATTTTATTATTATTTTTAGTTAACATTAACATGAAAGAAAATATATAACAAAAATAATAAATAATTAAACTGAAAAGTTGCATACTTTTTCAAAATAATTCTCAATTCTTTATGAAATACATCATTTATAATTTTTTTAACTTTAAAAACTACAAAAGTAAATCACACAATGTCATGTATCAATATGAGATATTTAAAATTTCATGTAATTTTATTTTATTTTTTGTATATAATATATATCTGTCTCTGTGTGTGTGTGTGTGATATATACATATATATATATATGTGTGTGTGTGTGTCTCTGTGTCTGTGTCTGTGTGTGTCTGTGTGTGTGTGTGTGTGTGTCTCTGTGTGTGTCTGTGTCTGTGTGTGTGTGTGTCTCTGTGTGTGTGTGTGTGTGTCTGTGTGTGTGTCTGTGTGTCAGTGTCTGTATGTGTGTGTGTCTTTGTGTGTGTGTGTGTGTCTCTGTGTGTGTGTGTGTCTGTGTGTCTGTGTGTGTGTGTGTGAAGGCCATTTTGGTCATTTTTTATAAAAAAAAAAATTCTTTTTCCGATGTTTTGAGTAAAACATTGGCGGCGACTTCTTTGAACATTTTTCAAAATCATTGATTAAAGATTAGTCTGATTTTCGGGCATTATTTAACCGATGAGATTTTCAAAATGGAAGTCCAAGTCATCTGTAGGCTAGATAGGAATTTTTTGGGTTCTAACAAATGGCGACTCCACTAGGGAAGCTTAAAGAGGGTCAGGCCCAAATAAATGATGAAATTAGCAAAATAAAAAAATAGTTCAAATATTTGTTCCTTTTACTTTGTTTGTTTTGTATGTATTTATTTTATTTGGCTTTGATATCTGTATGTTTGTTTAAATTCTACAACTGTTTTAAATAAATAATTGTACATAAACCTTTGCACAGAACAGTTCCCTCTATACCTAGGGCATGAATGTGTAAACATAGGGAGTGGTTGACGTACGACTGGCCCAAGAATGGCCTTGGAGCCTGCGAACCTTGTCGAAAATCATACTCAAGGTGATAATCGGTTACTCTAGCCTAAAATACTGCGTCAAACCTTAGAGTTTGTCAGGTGACGATAATAGAGGTATCGGGACCCTATAATGGGGGCACCTTAGGAGCCTTTAAAGACTAGTGAGGATAATTAGTGTGGAAGAAAATATGCACAAAAGTTTTGATGATGCCAAAGCATTGAAAGAAATTCAAGGTCAAGTTAAAGCAAGCTGATCAAGGAACAAGATCTCAAGAATTAAATAGATAAATCGTGTCAACTTAGCTAAACATGTAAAAGAAACTTTATGAAATTGCAACTATGCTTGGCCATTAAAATTAAGATTTCAAAAACCTCAATTAATCTTTTTGGATTTAAAAGCAAGTTTTAAATCTTCTGAAAAGAAAGTAAAAGAGTGATTCAAAAAGAATTAACGAAAATATTTTCTAAGGAATAGTTCTTAAAACTAAATCTTTAATCATTGAAATGAAGTTTTCTATATCAAAAGTTTTTGAAGCAAAAGTAATAATATTGGTTTGGTAATCGATTACTAGTTACAGTAATCGATTACCAAAAGAGGGAAGCTTCAAAATTCAAATTCCAAGATACAATGTTTAAGTTATTTCAAAATTATAACTGTTGTAATCGATTACGATGTGTTGTAATCGATTACTAGAAGAGGAAACTTCAAAGTTCAAATTGAAAGATACAACGTTTAAATTATTTTGAAATTATAACTATTGTAATCGATTACCAAACCCTTGTAATCAATTACCAGTGTGTCTTTTCTGAAAAACTCAAAGTTAAAACTTTTCATCAGAAGATACAACCAGAAGATATTTGACTATAAATATGTATAATTTTTCAAGAAAGGGTGACGAACTGAAGTGTGAAAAACCATTACAAAAACTTCTTGGCCAAAATTATTTGCAAATTCTCTAAGAGTTCCTTAAGATCATCATATTGTAATATCTACTTTTCAAAAGAGTAATTCTGTAATACCCATTCCATCATTCAATCTGTAAAAGGAAAAAGTGTTATTCTCCTTGGTGGTTTTGAATCTCAACACAAGGAAAGGAAATTCCAAGGTGTTGGAGGATTCAAGTCTTGTAAGAATTACAAGAATAGTGAAAACTTAAGTTGGAGACTTGAGGACTGGACGTAGACAGGATTGGCCGAACTAGTATAAAACGAGTTTGCAATTCTTCTCTCTACACTTTTGATTATGTTTTTTTAATTTTTTTTAAAGTATTTTTCAGCTTTGTTCTTTACATATAAATTTATCTAAGAAAGTGAACTTATAAGAAAGTACTTAGAAAAACTTGTAAAAAGAGGTAAATTTGGATAACTTAATTCACCCCCCTTCTTAAGTTATATGAGGCTACTTGTCTAACAAATAGAACCTTCCTATACAAAGCACTTTTTTTGATAGGGACCATAGACCATGGATTTGAACATGACTATTTACGGGTGCATGTTGTTTGAGCATATGTATGTTGCATTTGTTGTGTTTTCTGTTATTTCAAATGGATAAGGATTATAGACAAACAAACGAATACTAACAAAAAACTAACACCCTTCTATATACCCTAACATTATAAAAAAAAACATCATATAGGTTCGTTTATTTAAAAAAAAATTAGCAAAAAAAATCATGTATCATAACCCCTAGCTAACACATGATAATGCTTAGGCGGAAAATCACATGTTATGCATTTCTCCTAGGTTAGTAACTAATCGAGCATTCATTTTCTTTAGATATGGAATGCATAGATAGTAGCATGCATGGACCGTTGAGGAAAGTGAATATTCTAAATTATGCAATGCCAAGAGTCAACAGATTGTGCGTCCTAATGCTAAGAGAGGTCAAGACGAATTTCAAGAAACATTATGGAAGAATCCTTAACCTATTGAAGATATTTGTTGATCCCGCCTCTATAAGAGCTTTGATACATTTCTGGAAGTCGTCACTCCGTTGTTTTCAGTTCCCACTCTTTGACTTAGTACCCACCATTGAGGAATACAACATAATGATTAGATGGCCCAAATCCGAAGGGATTCATTCCATTAAGGAAGGGCATATATCCTCAGATAAGGTAGTTGAAATAATTAGACTACCCCCTTATTTATCCACTATAGAGGGCAATGGGATAGTCAACGGATGGAAGCTCTCTACACTTGAAGGACACCTTTCCTTCCTATCTGAGCAAGAGGATTGGATGCACTTCAATAATACACTCGCCTTAATCATGTTTGGAATAATCCTTTTCCCATTTCATGAGAAGGTAATATACCACATCGCAATTGACGCCTTCTTTGCCTGAGATGCACACCCAAGGAGTCTTATGTCGGCCATTCTTGCTGACATCTTGATTACTATGGACTTTTGTAGTAAAAAATCAGGAAAGTAAATGGGATGTTACAGCTCGTTGCTCTATGTTTAGGCATGCACCCATTTCTTCGACAAGGGACATATAGGAAAGCTACCCAACCTATTGAGAAGTTTTCCTAGAATTCCCATGTCGAGGAAATACGCCATGGCATGGAAAATCGAATTGGAGGATTACACCGAAGACTCGTTCACATGGATGTGTACATGGTTTCGACCAAGTCAAGTACTAATCCGATGTGGCATGTTCCCTAACATACCTTTGATAGGACTAAGAGGATGCATAGCCTACTCTACGACGCTAGCATTAAGGCAGATTGGGAGGACACAGACTTTGCCAAATTTGAAAAACATTGGAGGGGTTTATTTCTTTTACTCCCTGATCAACAACAACTGATAGACACCATCAAGGAAGCTTGGAACAAGCCATTCTACTTCGGAGACGATGAACTTGGTAGACCTTGGATAACTTCTTCAGACGATTACAACTACTGGAGAAGTGAAAAAGGAGTCAGGGGCATAACCAAACCGGTAAACCAACATGAGCAACAACAAGTCAATGCCTTGACTAAAAAGATAGAAATTTTGGAAGCCCAAGTAATGGCCTCGGAGGAAAAGGATGAGGCATCCAAACTTAACATCGACAGTCTATAAAGGTAGTGCAAGAAGAAGGACATGGAGATCAAGCGATTAAAAAATGAATGTGCCGACTGTAATACATAGCCGATGAAGACTCCAAGAGTTGATCAAATAAGCTTCTCGCATATGCTTTATCAAAGGTAGCACAACTCGAAGTCAAGCTCCATGAATAGGCACAAGAAATAGAGTAGGCATAGAAAAGCTTATCTATGGCCTAATATGAGGTTCGAGTTTGGTGGGAGATAACCCAAGAACAAGTTACCACTATCTCTAGGTATTAATGAAAGAAGGAAAAAGGGCTCAAGCAACTCAGAGAAGTCACCCACCAAAGGGACCAACCTCAAGAAGAAGTTCAAAAGTTGAAAGTGATGATGGGATACCATCAAGAGAAGGCTAAGGAAGCACCATCAGTTTGCGACAACATGAGCAAGGTGATCCAAGAACATGAGAAGGCAATGAAGAGACATGTTGTAGAAGCCGAGCATGACTTATCCATGTATCAACCAAGTATAAGCTTCTTTAGGCTTCTACATTATTGTCAAAATTTATTAAAAAGGATTGTATAAAGAATATTCTCTAAATGAATAAATCAATAAGAATGATATTCATTGAATTCTTCGATTGTCCTTGCATCCTACATTGCATTTCATTTAGAAAATACACATTCCTCATAAATAATAAAGATGTAAAAAGGGAAATCTAATTTATGCATATTAAAATCAGATAATGAAGTCTCTAGTAATCAAATGCAAACTCAACACATCAAATTAGGGAATGCTCCACCTAATACCAGTGGGCATGCCAAAGGATGAGGGGCAAAACATGCCCAAATTAACAATTCGAGCACCGAGTCCTTTTCCATATGAAAGTGACAAGTTCGTGCTGTGGATCTATGAAGTACAAGGCTCATCAATCATGGATTCATCAAACATTACCGGGATCGGAGGAATGACTAGGAGTGGATGAGTCTACACTCCTAAAGAATAACAAAACAAGGTCCCCAAGGAAAAGGATAAGGAGGAGGAGGGAAACGAGTTCAACGGAGAAGATGAACTCCTCAAGTTTATTCAATAGAGCGAGTATTCCATCATCGATCAACTGAACCATACTCTAGTAAAGATCACGTTGCTTTTGTTGATTATGAGCTCAGAGCCACACTAAAAGGCTTTATTAAAGGTCTTGAACAAAGCCTAAATCACTCACAATATCTCCCAAGATAAGTTTGAAGGGACCGTAAGCCACATCACGGCTAATGATCACTTAACATTCACATACAACAAGATACCAAGTGGATGAATCGACCACAGCAAGCCCTTCCATATATCTGTAAAATGTAAGGAATTTCTCATCGCCGAGGTTTTGGTAGACAATGGGTCCTTTTTAAACGTGCTAACTAAGATCACTCTCGACAAATTGACGGTCAAAGAGACCCAAATGCGACCAAGCAACAAGATCGTTTGAGCCTTTGATCCCGAAGATAAGTGATTGGAGAGATCACTTAACCTATTCAAGTAGGGTCCACCACTTTCAATATGGAAATCCAAGTGATGGACATCGCTCCTAGTTACATCTGACTCCTTAGAAGGCTATGGATACATTAGGCAAATATGGTACCCTCCACATTGTATTAGAAGGTCAAGTTCACAATTGATGATAATTTGATGATCATGCAAGCAAAGGAAAACATGATCGTCATCAAACCATTAATTATCCCATATGTTGATGCGGTAGAAGAAGCCTTAGAAACTGCTTTCTAAGCATTGGAAATCACCTATGTTGAGAATATCTTAAGCAAGAGGAACTTAGCAGCTCAAATTTTGTTCAAAAGTGGCTACCGACCAGGACAAGGGCTTAGTAAGGATGCCCAAGGAATAATGGAATTGCCAGACTATGCAAACAATTTAGGACAATGAGGTTGGTGGTACGAACCGACAACAAATCTCAGAAAGGAAAAGCCAAGTAGTCCTACTCTATATGAGATCTTCTGAAGCATCGATATCCAAGCAAGCGGAGGAACAGTCTTGGTGATTAGACCAACCAGGCCCCTCTAAAGGGGTAATCTTTTTTTTTTCATTTCCATCATAAGCTCTGTATTTTCATTTAAGATAAAAAAAAAACTACACTCGGTAAATTATTTATTTTTTAAAACATTTTTTAATAATACATAATATTGTAAAATTATTAATTTTTATAACAATTTATTATTATTAATGCACAAATTTCTTCATTTTGGTAGTTTTGTGATGATATAAAATACTCCTGCCTCCATCCTTTTATATAAAACTTTTTCAACTAAATTACATTGTTTAAAAAAATTGGTTAATTTAATTAATGACATTAAATTTTGGTTGACGTGCTAACTGGTCGGGGCTTTCATGGGGATCAAGAGCCTAACAAATGAAATCTACCTCCATATAACATTTTGTATACTCTAGCATATGATTTGGCCCATGTCCATTAATTTATTTTCTTTTTTGCTTTGCCTTGCTGTCCTTAAAGTTTCATCTGTGCAAGAATAAACTGTCAATAATTTGAACTATCTTTTTAAAATTATCCTTAACATTAATCATCTCTCCTTTTCCATTTAATTGTTTCTCACCTAATAAAATCATTAACCCATATCATCTAGCTACTTGAACCGAAATCATTAACCTACAATTTTAATCATATGAACCTTAACCAATATCCTTAACCCTGAAATAATAAAATAATTCATATTTAAAAGTAGTTAAACCTTAATCTCAAATCCTTAACTCCTAATTCCTATGAACCTAAGGATAATAACCTAACATTAAGCCCAAACACTAAAGCCAAAATGAAATGTTAAGTAAACACGATCGTACTTATTTGTTAATTAATCAAATAAGATATTTGGTGATACACAATTAGAATACTATGTAATTCACTCTTTTTTTAATATAATATTTAATTGAATTTACATTATTTGTTAACAATTCACATTGATTGAGGAAATTAACATTTTGATTGGTCTAATATTTAAGGTAATTGACTTGGTGAGACATCCATTTATTAAACATAACCTCCCCGACAAACTAGCAACCTTATTGACTTCTATTAATCACCCATTAATAATTCATGACTATGATATTACTGTATCTCATCAGGGATCAAATAGCTTAACAAAATTAGTCTCGTATAATTTAGTAAGGTGAGTTCATTCAAATAAATCCTTTATAGTCAAAAGATTTATAATGTTCTAGCCAATAAGAACAATTAATATTTGAAAACTAAATAAAATTTTTTTATTAACATTTATTTTGGTGAAATTAAAATTCCTTTCTCTTTTTTCTCATTATCACTTTGTCTATTAACAATATTTCTCAATGTTGTTTTACTAAGTTATTAGTATTTAACTAGATGTTGAATCAGGGTCAAGAAATGAGATGAAACCTAATTAAATTCTAATTATTGATAATGAAAAATAATTTTATATTCATAATAGGTCAAAGATAAATGTTAAAATAAAATCAATCTAACTCATTTGTGAATCAAATAAGAAATTTAATGGTACGTCATTGAAATGCCTTGTGATTCACTCTTGCTATTTTTATAATCACTTAATCAAATCTATATTATTTATTAATGATCCAACTTGATAACGGAAATAGATCGACATAATATTTAAGATGGTTAACTAAAGGAAACAACCATTTATAAAGCATAACCTCTCTAGCAAGTAGGCAACTTTATTAACTTTTCCTAAAAAGTGAAGTGCAAAAAGCACCGCACATAGAAAGGATTACAAAAGAAAAAAGATAACATAAAATAAAGATCCTATACATGTCCTACTTGCAACAGAATTGACAACATGATAGCCTAGTCCTCTTTCTTCCTTATGACAGGGTTGTTGTTGTTGTCATGGAGAAATTCAATTAAAGCAGTGCTTTTACATTTAGGGCACATGAGGTTATCCTTAGCAACCATTATATACATAAGGCAATGATGGCACCCTACTAGCACAAGGGGAACAACTTCAGGGCTATTAGAGTATCCAAGGTTGTTGTTGTCATCCTCCTTCTCTTGTTTGACATCAGTGGATGCACATGAGCTCGGTGGTGATGGTGGTGATATTATTGCTGATAGATTTGGGGACTCAAGTCTACGATCAACAACCCTTGGTGGGGATAGGTTCAACCTCAATTCAAGTTTCGGATTGGTTTCATTTCTGTCACTCATGTTTACCCCTTTTTTTCAAAAGTATGTTACCTATTTTGACTCAAAAAATTAGATACAAGGAGAACACAAAAATTTCAATTAAGAAAAAAAGAAAGAGAAAGATGAGTAATTGTGTACCTTAGAAATGGTGGGGTGAATGGCTCAAAATAGGAGAATGGCGTAACAAGCTCCAACACTAGCAAATTGATCTATGTTAAAGGGTTGGCCCTTAGGCCATTTTATACAAGGAAAATTGAAGGGGTGATTTAAAGCTTGTATTTAATATTTTGGTGAAAGTCAAATTTATTTCCCCTTTTTCTTGCCGACACTTCTGCTTTATGACATTAATTACCAATGTTATTTTATTGCGTTTTAGTAATAAACTAAAGGTTGAATTAAAGACAAGGAAAAAAATCCAATCAAATTCTAATTAATAATAACGCATGTAAAATAATTTCATATTGATAATAGGTGAAACTTAAATGTTAAAATTAAAATATTCTAACTCGTCTATAAATCAAATAAGAAATTTAGTGAATTGTATCTAAAATATCCTTCAAATCACTTTTATTTTTCATAATTACTTAATAAAATTTATATTATTTACTAATAATTTGTATAGAATAAGGAAATTGACTTTTGGGTTGGCCTAATAATTAAGAGAATCAAACCAGTAAGACAATCATTTATTAAACATAACATCACCAGCAAGGGAACAACCTTATTAACATTTCCTAATCTAGCCTCTTTAAGAAAGACACCATGACCATATCCATTAAATAAGCCTCACATAACATAGTCAAAGGAGTTCATTCAAATACTAATTTTTCACACCTAAAAGACTTATGATCTTAATTAGTATTTGAAAGTCTAATATCAACATATATTTTGATGAGGCTCAAATTTATTTAGCATTTATCTTGTTATTGTAACATTTCAAATTTTCTAAAATTATTAAAAATATTGTTTAAATTAATTAAATGAGTTTTAGAAAATATTGTAGAGACTTTTAATAATTACGAGTATTTTTAATTAAATAATAATTTTTTTGAAACTTTTTTTGTATAATATTTATTGGAGAAATGTGTATTTTATCAATATCTTTTTTATAATAAGTATTTGGATAAAATTATCTGTTTTATTGTAATTGTTTTATGTATTTATTTCAATTATAATTTTGTTGGGAAAACATATGTATTTTATATATTAGTTATAAGTTTTAATAATTAAGGGAAGGGAAGCGTGACTATACAATTTGGGTGAAAGGGGTCTTACCTTCACAAAACCACACTCAACTTCATGAATTAGGGACTCAGGCCTTCCTTGCATATTCAACATCATACATGAGCGTACATAATTGATTTATAGTCGTTATAGATTTTTCCAACATCTGAGCACACAACAACGTAAATCATATCTACATATATATACATATATATATATATATAGGCACACACACATACTGTTGGGGAGTTTTTAACATCGAGGAGCACTCCACATAATGGGTAGTGAGTAAATCATACAAGTGAGCTTGACACCACAACATATCCTAAAATCTTAAGGCAATAGGTAGGTGGGTCTTTCTCACTTATATATTACTCAACATGTCCAACTCTAACCAATGTAGACTTTGCTTCACACTTGAATTACAACACTCCCCCTCAAGTGTGAATCCCTTCCACATGGACAGCTTTCCCTTAAGCGGAAGCTTTTTCTTTCGTCCACGAGTATTCAATGGTAGCTTTACTTGCACTATCGTTGCACTTCAACGACACACACGTCCTCCACACCTCTAGGGAGACTTTCAGTACAAGGGATGATCCTACTCTTGGATCTCCTGCCAATTCCATTTAGGATCCCACTATTGGATCCAGTTAATACTCGTCTGAGCCGATCACTAGTCACTTGGTCGAACCATCGACTCTGATACCAATGTTAGGGAGTTTTTAACATCGAGGAGCACTCCACATAATGGGTAGTGAGTAAGTCACACAAGTGAGCTTGACACCACAACATATCCTAAAACCTTAAGGCAATAGGTAGGTGGATCTTTCTCACTTATATATTACTCAACATGCCCAACTCTAACCAATGTGGGAATTTGCTTCACACTTGAATTCCAACACATACAACATCATCAACAACATCATAGACATCACCTATGATGCATACATCACTAGACTCAAGGCAAAAGCCCCTTATTCTTAGACCTTGCAACTATCAGGAACTCATCACTCATTCCCTGCCCAGAGCAAGCACAACGTAATCCCCTTAGGGATAACAACATCACTTCCTCAACCACTTAGGACATAGAGGTACACTTCACAACACCAAAAACACCTATAGAGAAAAACAAATAGGATTTTTGTAAAGTAAGCACATGTTTTCTGAGTGACTAAAGCCCTTTATGGCTCCTTATCGAGTGAGCACAGGCTGGCTAAGTGACTTAGATTCTCTAGGGGTCATCTTTTTATGGATCCTTTATGTACAACTATTCCTTAGGTATTAAAACAAAAGAATTCACATGGTTAGAATTATAAACAATTTCAAAATAAAGAATGTATTTATCATTCACCATAGAGGAAATAATTAAAGTATCCTCTTTTAAAGGCTCATTTTCAATTTCTTCTACTATAAAATCTTTACTTCCAAACAAGGGATTAGAATATAAAGTTTTATTTTCCCTTTATGGAAGCACTTCTTGAAATTCTCTTACAAAAAAGTTTTCAAAATCACGTAGAGGATTAGAATAAAAACAAAATTGTGTTCCTTCACTTTAAGTTTTTCTTTCTATTCTTTTCTTTTTCCTTATTTTTTTTCTTTTTCAATTCCTTTTCATTAGTTTTTTTTCTCTAATTTCTTTCAAAAACATGATTGTTGCTTAAAGGCTCACAGGCCAACCAATATATACATGCCAATGAACAAACACATGACCAAAAATGTATGCAACCAAATACTCTCACTATGGGAAAAATACATAAGGGCATGTTAGGATAATGAAGCTATAATAGGTTACACTCCATGCATTTTATAGGGAAGAATTGAGGCTCCCAAGTTTTGTTGTCTCTAAGGTCTAGGTCATCTAACAACTAAAGGGCCTCTTTGACAATGTATTCCACACCATACTCCATAAATTAAAATCCAAGTTTATACACATGATGCATGCCACAATAATTCATGATTCAATGTTTATAAACGTATCGGTTATAAAACATGCAATTGTCAACTATATCAACTAGCTAAGCACAGATGCCAGCTAATACAATAAATCCTTTATATACATTATGCAATGAACACGGACTATATTTAATCATGCATGTGGTGCTAGTAAAAAACATCACATGATGTATTGTCTCAATGCACTCTCACTAGGAGAATATACTATTAGGGTATAGTCAGGACAATAAAGTTGCACATGTTCCAACCCATGTAGACAATGGGCAAGAGTACGGTTTTCTAAACCCGGTTGTCCTCGAGGATTGATCCCTAAGCTTTTACAGAAAAAGATCTTCCCTAACAATTATCATACCCTTAAAAAAATAGTCATGCATATGATTCATATCAAACAAAACTTTAGGCATTACTACATTACAATATCATATCATATCATGGCTAAGTCCCATTTTTTTTTCTTGTTTTGTTTGGACTGAACACTAGTTGTAGAAGGTTATTTAGAAGTTGGAGCTGGTGAAAAGGCCTAGACCTCCTAACTTACAATTTGAGTTATGCTCTTATAAGATTGTGACATCGAGGTTGGAATTTATTTGTTTTTATATAATTTATAACTCAATTGTTTTAATTTCATTGAGTTTTATGACCCTTTTGGAGTTCCAAGTTATATTTTATTGTTAAGGTTTTTAATATTGATTTGGTTATTTATTTTAAATAACAATCTAAAAGTATTTACTTTATTTGACTAGTTTTAATGTGAATTCTCTACTAATTAAAAAATATTTATTTATTTGATTATTTATTATGTTGTTTAATTAAAATTAAATTATGAATAATTTTACTAACTATAATAACTAAGAGAGTAGAGGATGTCATAAGAACATTTTATGTCTTATGAGTGTAGAGACCAACATTCAATAAACATATTTACTATGTTACGTAAGAGTTATTAAATAAGTATGAGATTTATTCTACTCTTTTTTTTTTTCTTTTCCTTTTATCTCCAAAGTTTTAATGCTTCTAGTTTTACCATTAATTTTCCTATATGACAATTTGGTGGTAAAGTAGAATCACTACTACTCTTAGTGCTTTTATATAAGTCTTTACTCATGATGAAAATGCAAGTTTAAGAAAAGGTTTTACTAGTTTAACAAAAAAGAAAACCCAAGTGTTTAAAGAAGTCTTTGGAACCTCTTAAACACAACTAGCTAGTGAATTTGCAAAAGTTAAAGCAACAAAGAAAGAAAATGAGTATGCAAACTAAACGAGTCCCTAGGTGAAGTTTGGACAAACACTTGAGAGTCTTCCAATCCACTTCCACAAGTACTAAAATGTGAAAACTACTTAAAAGAAAACAAATAAATTAGAAGTTTTGGGTAGACACTTGTAGCTTCTCCTAAACCACTTCCAAAGGCCTTTTATAACAAATAAAATTAAGCAATAAAATAAAATAAAAACAACAAATACAAAACAAGAGAAATCCTACACTAAAGCCACCAAAATGTTCCAAGTTGCTTCCTACACAAGCAACAAACTCTTTGGTTTGTGGTAAAATTTCAACTCTTGTGTGTTTGCCTTTCTTGAGTGTTTTCTCTCTTAGTTTTCTTCCAAAGGAGAGTCTCCCAAAAGAGTGCTCCCTCCTAAGATTTTGATCAACACTACAAGATGTTACCTTGTGGTCAAGGCCTTGGAAAAACCTACACTTGGAAAAATAACACCACAACCATTAGAGTAATTTGAAAGAAAACAATAAAAGCTCAAATTATAAAGCTAAACTCAATAGGGTTTTAATGTAACAAACTCAATGAATAAAAATAAAGACAAAACTAAAAATATGGCAAGTTTATAAGCCAACACACAAATGGAACCCTAATAATAGTTCTAGAATAGATTACAAATTCAAGAAAAAAACTCAAATCTACTTCTCAAATGTAATATAAATCTCAAGTAAATGAAATGGGTAACAATACTTTTCAAATATATCTCATATTGTTTTTATGCTCCACTATAATATTTTCCAAGATAGTTCAATTTTTCTTGTATTTTCTTTTTTCTATTTCTCTTTTTTATTTTTTTTAACACTTTTGTTTTTTTTGTGAGCAAGGTTGTGACTATATATATATATAGAGAGAGAGAGAGAGAGACTACTATAACTTGTTACAATCTTTTCCAAGAGTTAGAAACTTAAAATTTCAAAATCAAGAAGTAGATACTCAAAAATGAACCAAAATTTGGTGAAAATTTTAATGTAACTCATTATTTTGCTTGTGCTTGATTTTGGACCTTTTGTACTTCAAACTTAGGCAAGTACAAATCAATTAAATCTAGCACATATTTGTTTCAAACGCTTCACCAAATTTGTATTCACCTTAAGTCACAAAAAACAAGAGGAAACAAGAAAATAAAGAAAATTATAAGACATAAGGAATCTTAACTCTAGAAAACATGTTAATGATCGAATAGCATGTATGAACTAAAAAATTATAAAGTAAAAAGCATATTTATCCAATTCATCCAGCAACCATACCCTAAAATATCAATACAAGAATTAGGTCAAATACCGAAAAAGTTACACTTGGAGTTAATAGACATGTAAAGATTACACGACTCTAAGAGAACATGTTTTCATGGATTCAAAAACTAAAAAGTCATATATATTCACATATATTTGTAGAGTATATTCAACTTAACAAATCATACATCAAAATAAAGGAAATAACATAAAGAACATAAATCCTAAAGCATAAGCACAAGATATGATTCATACAAGAGTAGATCTAAAAATTCAACCCTAAAACTTCATTAAAAAGATGTAGATCCATAGATTTATCATGTGAAAAACTAGATTTACCGCAACATAAAATCAAACAAGACATTTAAGAAGCATATGAGACATGACAAATATTTTAAGAACAAAAGACTTGTGATACTTGAACCTCCATGGATGACCTTTCTTTAGATACCAAAAATGATGGAAACACCTTTAAGAACTTGAATGATGAAGTTCTCTAGGTGCATCATCTCCCTTGATCTTCATCCATGGCTCCAAAAACATGAAAAGAAACTTCAAATGTGGAGGAGAAAAGGAGGCGGAGGTGGCACCATTCACAAGTGTAGACATAATTTAGGAAAAGTTACTCTTGCCACAAGGAGGAGTTCCTTAATGAAAGAGCTTAAATATTCACACTCTTAAGAGATAACTCTTAGACCTTAGAGAGAGAAAAAATAATTTTCTTATTCAATCATCAAAAAGTGACAAAAATGTACAAGAGAACAACTATATATAGGCTTTGTTAGCTTGTGGTATAAATTAATCAAATCATAGTCAAGTATATTATAGTTCGATTAACTTACACCAAGCTAAATAACTATGGTTGTTTACATTTGAATTTTAAAAGTTTGAAATTCAAATTTAGGCTTTACAATCATTAGATCTACACTAGCCAATGAAAGTTATAGAAGTGGCATGGTGAAAAAAATGTGATAGGGGGTATGGGAGTAAGAAATGGGGTGTAGGAGTAAACATTTAGAAGGTGTGACTAGGTATGGAACATGTAACAAGGTGGGGTTGTGTAAAACCTATGGGAGGGTGTGGGAAACACCAAAGTGAACGTCCACTCCATGAAAAAGGCTCAACTCCCTTCTTTGGTCTAAATAAGCCCAATTAGTACATTTTCCAATTACTAGTTGCACCCCCAAAAATATTAGTTGCACCCCAAGAGAAAAATACAAGAAAATAAATTTATATTCTAACAAACCCAAAATGCAAGGTTAAAATAAAAAGAAATATATATAAAAGGGAATATATGGACTAATTACTATTAGCCTAAAGCTCAACACAAGCTTAGACCTTATTTCTTCATTCGTATCTCACTCCTCTTGGACTTATTTGGGTGTGGCTTTTTCATGATTTTATCACACCCTTCCAACACTAGGTAGGGGTGCACCTTAGGTAAAGTTGAGTTGTGTATGTTTATGTATGATGTTGAGAGTTAATGCAGGGAAGGCCTAAGTCTCTAATTCACGAAGTTGAGTATGGCGTTGGAAGGTTAGATTCTCTTTACCCGCACTATTTTTAGAAATGCCTTGAGGCAATTTGAGGGATAATGATAAGTTGAGATGTTTTCTTGAATTGTTCAGTGGGAGATGCTAATTGATTGGGTCTTTGGGAGTTTAGTGCTTTGTAGTCCCATGTAGCGATGAGTTTTTATGAAAACTTGATTCTCCTCCAAATGGTTTAAAATACGCAACTTAAGAAGGATCTAGCAAAATTTGTTGATGGATCTTCAAAGATGAACATGATCTTAAAGCATAAAAGATTATCATCAGACAAATCTAGTCTTGGTTACAAGGATCATAAGACTAAACCTGTTGTTCATAAATCTAAAACACCCTACTAAACCTTTTGTGACAAAGTTGGTCATTATACCAATAAATGTATACATAAATAAAGATAGTTGATGTCTAAGACCAACAAAACTAACATAAAGGGCTCAAAAAAATTTGAGTACCAAAGTCTCATTGTTTCTATTGTAGATTTCATTAATGGGGATGTTAACGAATTCACACTAGTACTTGGACAATGGATGCTCATGTCATATGTCAAGATAAAGGTTTATGTTCCTATACTTTCAATCATATGGAAGATTGATCTCATTTGGAGGGAATGAGAAAGGTAACATAAGGGGTATAAATAAGATTGGCAAGAACCATTTATTTATTGTTAAAAATATTTTATATATTGAAAGACATAAAAAAAAATTGCTCAACATTAGTCAATCTTGTGATATTGGATATACTTTGTCTTTAAACTAAGATGAATATATAATCAAATGAATTTGTCAGACTATACTCTTTATTACTATTAGAAAAAAACAACCTTTATGAAGTTAATTTTGAAGATTTAAGTAGACAAAATGTAACTTGTTTGGTATTCAGAGAAGATAAAAGATAGATTTGATACAAAAAACTTGACGATGTAATTTAAAACATATTTCAAAATTATATAAAAAAGGTTTAGTCAAAGGACTACCTAAGAGTTTTTCACATACTCATCTTCTATGTGAAACTTGTTAAAAAAATAAACAAAATTTTCATCCTTTAAATAAAAGAAAATTGTTTCTACTTCAAAAACCTTTAGACTTGTTACATACAATCTATTTGGGCCTACTAGAACATTAAGTCTAGTTGGTAAAAAGTATGAATTCATCATTGTTTATGAATATTTTATACACACATAGGTATACTTCACCACTTACAAGCATGAGTCTTTTTATTTCTTTGAAATATTTTGTAAAAGAGTTCAATATGAGAAAGATTTTTGTATCTCTATCATCAAAAGTGATCATGAGACAATATTTAAAAAACTCCCAGTTCAAAATTGTTTGTGAGAAGAGTTGGATTTTGCACGACTTCTCTTCACAAAAAATAATCCCAACAGAATGGAGTCATTGAAAAAAAAATAAAAATCCTTAAAACTCTCTTTATCAAATCTCTTGCCCTAAATACTTTTAAGCATAATTTTTTAATAAAACATATTATATTAAAACAGAATATTAATAAGACCTCTTTTAAACAAGATTTATGAGTTATGGAGGAGAAAATACTTAACATCATTATTTTCACAAATATACGCGAGAATATAATATTTTTAAATTAAAAATAAATTTTTATTTTATTGCGATAAAAATATCAATTCTACTTTTATTTAACTATTTAAGGTAGTAAAATTATTAATTCTCAAATAACATGTATAAATATTTATAAAATGTTATGACCAATTAATAAAAATCAAAAAATTATTTGGTTTATAATATAACGAAGGGGGAAATGAAGGGTTGTTTTGTTAGTACCAATATTCACACGATTGAAGCAGCAAATGCGTGCGTATGCGTGCCACTTGACTAGCAAGTGCAATGCAACGAAGTGTGCTCCTTTCTTCATCTCCACTCCACCTTACAACACAAACACAACCCTGTCACTGATGCCACAAGTGCTTCCTCTCGGTTTCACTTTCCAGGTTAATAATAGCTTAGTAGAGTTCTATCGCACCTTTCAGATTCTTACGATTCAAAGTCACTACTCCTACGCACTGTTTCGATTCCACCGACTCGTCGGAAGCTTCAGAGAGGAACGGAGCAGAGGCCTAAGTGCACTCTAGTGCTTCTAGAAGGTTCGCCTTATCACTCTTCTGCCACACTCTCCACGCTATTAATCCCCTCACTAGAACACTTTAATCATCTTTATGTGTTTTCGTTAGGGTTTCATGTTACTCTCTGTATTCATGCATTTTACGTGTTCGATGAAATTGCCATTCCAAATTTTTGCAAGTTTTTGTCATTATAAAATGATATCATGTTCTCTTATCCGTTTCTTTGAGATTATGAAATTTGCTTTTCATTTACGCGCTCGATGAAATTCCTGTTCCAATGCTGCGTTTTGTTTATGCCATTATAACGTGTCGACATGTTCTCTTGTTCATCTTTGCCTTATCCATAACTTCATTATATAGCCCATAGCTGGCTTTTTCTCACCATCAACAAGTCTAAGTACTTTTACAAGAGGTGCCATGACTTTAAGTATGTACACTACATTCCTAAAAAAAAAGCATCAAAACAATTTTACATACTTCTCTTGCTTTTGCTTCCTTTGATAATTTGTTTGAATTCCACTCATACAAAACAAACATCTTTCTTAAATTTGATTTTTCTTGGTGGATCCTTTTCAAAGAAAGAAAAGATGTTGCAAATCGAGTCACTGCATGCCTCACTAGCTCCCTTTTGTTTGTATAAAACCTTAACAAACTTAGGGTGCTTGAATGGCTATAAATGAAGCCAACACGAGAAATTGCCCGCCGAATTGTTTTCTTGATATTCGGAAGCTTCCCAATGTCCTCCAACATTAAATCTATGTAATGGGCTGCACATGGGGTCCAAAAAAATTTCTTCTTTTTTGCCTCCAACATCTTGCCAGCAAGAACATAATTACTCCCATTGTCCGTGATGAATTTGACAACTTTTTCCTCCCCAATATGCTCTACAATAGAGTCTAGTAATTCAAATAGCTTCTCTCCGGTCTTTACAAAATTAGACCCATCAATAAATTTAATGAACATTGTCCCTACAGAAGAGTTCACCAAAAAATTAATAATGCATCTTTGCTTCTTGTCCGTCCAAGCATCTGACATGATGGAACATCCAAAACTAACCCAATGTTCCTTTTGACTTTTCATCAATTTTTCAGTATACTCTATCTCTTTTTGGAGAAGTTGAACTCTTACCTCATGATAAGATGGAGGTCGCAAATGCGGTCCAAAAGATCCAATAACTGTAACCATGTCATGAAAGCTCCCCAATTTGATCATGTTAAAAGATAGTCCAGCTTGAAACTAAAACGGGCTATATATTGGTGGACCCTTGTTGTAGCTTCTTTGTCACAACTCTCCCTTATACTTATTTGCTTCAATTTCTCCTTGTTTTTTGCAATTGCTATTTCCGGACATTTACAAAAAGATCAATAGGCCCTTTTTTCATAGCAACCTTCTTCCATTCATTGGTCCCAAGTGTCTCAACTTCTAATTCTCATAAATCTCCCTTCAATGTATAATCTTCACTACCAAAAGTCACATCTTCCATTATTGTTTGGCATGACTCACTTTCTTTCATCTTCTTATTTTTCTCAAGTGCCCACAACTCATCTTTAACCTCTTGTGGAACACTTTGACAAGGTGCAACATTTCCCTTCTTTCCCATTAGATGTTGCTTTGCTCTTGTAATTCTTCCTTTCATGATTTTTTGACAATAGTTATACATAATTTCATTTGTATCATTCTCTTTGGTAGGATGACAATGTTTTCATCCTATATCTGTCCTCTTAATAGAGTTTGAGGATGTTTGACTTTGAGTTTGAGGAGGATTGCTAGACATTGTCCAAAAAATAAAAATAAGAACAATAATAAAATAGGAACTCAATATTAGTTTAAAATTTATAAAAAAATAAAAATTTAAATTGACCCAATTGCTAGAAGAATTAAGATTAAAAAAAATTTGTTGTAGATGCAACAATGAACTCATTAAAATTAAGAAAGGACTAAAAGGAGTAGGAAAAACTAAAGGAAGAAGGAGGATTAAAACTGGAGAAAAAAAACTGTTAGGTTTTAAATCGCCAGAGTTGTTCGCCGGAGTGCTAGACCACCAAGGTTCAGGTCGTCGGCTAGAAACTTGACCAAGGAGTGGTGGGTGACGATGATCAAAGGTGGTTTCAATTTTTGTAAGTCCTATTCGCGCGTACATCATGGTTCAGGTCGTCGGAGTCGTGGACCACCGCAATTCAGGTCGCTGGTCGGAGAAGTGATTGGCAAGTGGTGGGTGACGGGGAATGAACGTCACCAGAGACGGATTGAAGGTAGATGAACTGCGTTTTTGTGGGTGGCTGTCGTGGCTTCTCATTCTTAAAGCCCAAAACCATTAGGGCATACTTGTTGGGCCTAGGTCGAAGCCCAAAACTGGCCCCAGACCCATTATGTCCGCCATCACCTTCATAGTGTAACAAGTCAAAATGGACATGCGGCCGCCACGGCAGAAATGGCGGACAGCGCCACAAAATGCCATTTTGCAAATGGTGAATGGCAGCGAGGCCCAAAACCACCTCGCCATACCGTTATAACAGTGTTATAACAGTTTTTTGATAACCTTACTAGTGTGAAGCATTCAAACATACTGTAAATTTAGAGTAAACCAGTGTAGTTGTTGAAATTGGCTCAGAAAGCAGAAAATATGCGGGAGAATGAGAGACCAACGTTTTGAGTGTTGTAATCTAATATTTAGATTTTTTCCCCTTTAAATCTTATGCATGATTAAATGTAGTAATCATTGTGGAGTTCTTATAGTTCCTTTATTTACATTTAATTGTCCCGTTCATAGTTGTCAATCGCGGCCTGAGCGGCTGCTATCGCGGCGCTCTAGAGCGAAGCGACCTGACGTCGCAATGGTGATGTTGTCGCGTCTCGGATTTCTGTCGCAGCTGGAGCGGCTACGTTGATCGCAGAGCAGAGCAGCCAAAAACTACGGAATCGCGCCGCGTCTTGGACAGACCCTTCATTAAGGGTAAGTCCGTCATTTTTGTTGGGTTTTTCTTGCCCTAATTCTTCCTCTCCCTCTCGCGGAAGCATTGTTGTTGGTTTCTAAACGTCTTGCACTCCCTCTCCTCTTTGTCTCTCGGACTCGATTCTTTCTCTCTCGGGGACGACCTTGGACGCACTCTAGTTGTCTTCTTCAGGTGTCTCTGTCAGACGCTCCTCCAATTTCGACGCACTTTGTCAGTTTTGACCGACGCACCTCCAGTTCCGACGCTGCTCCTCCAGTTTCGACGTCCTCGTTTGTCTTCTCATTTTCTATTTTATAATGCAGCATATTTTTATTTTTAATTTGTGATTAAATTTAATTCAACATTTTTTTTTAATTTTTGATTAAATTTAATTTAGCAGATTTTTTTTTAAAATTTTTGATTAAATTTTATTCAGCATAATTTTTTTAATTTCTGATTAAATTTAATTCAGCAGATTTTTTAAATTTCTGATTAAATTTAATTAAGCAGATTTTTTTTAAATTTCTGATTAAATTTATATTATGTATTGTTTGAGTACTATGAACTTTTAATTATTAAAAATGTTTAATGCATGAATTTAGAGTTATTTTTTTTATAGCTTTTATATATATATTATTAATTATTTAATATATATAAATTAATATTAAAATAGTGGTTATCTCGCTCCGCGTTAACTCGCAATCCCATTTTTAGGGTCGATCGCTCCGCTCCGCTATTCGGGATTGACTACTATGGTCCCGTTAGCTTTACATCTTAAATAAATAATGGGGAGAAATAAGACTGGATCATCATTTTGACCCTTAGGGACTTCCAGTGTAGTTTTAAAATTGGCTCAGAAAGGGGAAATAGGTGGGAGAATGAGAGTGCAACAAGATCAATGTGTTGTAATATAATATTTAGATTTTTTTCTTTCCTAAATATTATGCATGATTAAATATTATTATTTTTGATTGAATAGGGGGCTAGAAGCCCAAATACAAAAAACTAATAACCACGAGGAAAGGAAATGGCTGATTTATCAGCCAACAAAAGGAAATGAGCCCAGCTAGGTGGGACATTAAAAGATAAAACACCCTCAGGAATAGAAAACCCGATTTTGGCAAACCCATCCGCAACTTGATTTGCCTCTCGAAGAGTATGGATACACTCAATATTGTAGAAATCACCTAACATCCTCACAATATGATTGACTAGGGCATAACACAGATGTGCTCGTGGGCAGCCTTCATTTAGAAATTTTACAGCAATAGCTGAATCTGATTCAATAATTATGTGACTAGAGATAAATTTGTCTTTGATTAGTCTTAGGCCATGGTAGATAGCCCATAACTCTGCTTGCACTACAGTACAGGTACCAAGCAATCCAGCAAAGGCAACAATAAAGGTTCCATCACTATCTCCTAAGACCCCTCCACATGAAGCCTTGGAGAGATTTGAGACAGCTCTATCATAATTGAGTTTAAGAATGTCTGGAGGAGGAGGGTTCCAGCTAATATTTGTACGAGAATGATCCTGAAGAATCGATTGATGTTGTTTATAACAAGATACTTTACTTAGCTTAGTTAGACGCCCCTTGACAAGATTCACCACCTGGTTCGACGATAACAAATAATTGTTGAAAGTAAGCCGCCCATTGCGCGCCTTCCAAATCGCATCCAGAGTTAAAGCGAAAGTTTGGTTCCAAATGGCATCAGAATCAGATAAGTTAGTAGCTAACCAATCTGTCAAAGGTGAGAGGAAAAAATTAACTTCACGTGTAGCACCTAAGATTGAACACCACACTTTCTAGAGAAATCGCAGTCACGGAGGATATGAATGCAAGTCTCTCGATCAGCATGGCAAATTTTACAACTTGCATCATATGTTAAGGATCGTGATAACCTCCAATCATTGGTACAAAGGCTATTATGAGCTATGCGCCATAAAAAACAACGAATATGTTCCGGCCCAGGCCACCTCCATATCAAGGAAAAGAGATTTTTGAGGTTTGATGGAGCCGATGTCCTTAAGGCTTCATATGCAGACTTCATACTGAAAACACCATTGTTGGAACCCCCCCACACTAAACAATCTCCATCATTGTCTGTAGAAGGGGGAGCCGTACCTTTCAACTCGTTCCAACAGCTCGAGGGGATTAGGTCGTGAATCCCTTCCAAATTCCAAGAGCCATCCTCCCTAGTATAATCAGCTACCGTCTTTTTTAGGAGATCTATGGAAATTGGACCTGTCGTCACATCTATAAGCACCACCTTTGATGGAAGCCACCGATCCGCCCAAAACTTAATTGTTTTCCCATCACCTAAACTCCAAGCTAGGGATTGTTCAACCTTTACCCATGCGGCGCATATTCCTCTCCAAAATGTTTAATCCACTACCCTTTTATTAATCAAATTAATATCTTCATCACCACATCCATATTTAGATCTAATTACACAGAGCCAAAGCAAATTTGGCTGAGAACAAATGTTCCAGCAATTCTTCATCATATAGCAAGTATTTACCTTACGAGCTTCTTTGACACCAAGTCCTCTTGAATCCTTAGGTTTGCAAATAGTCTCCCATGCAACAGCATGAACACAACGGTGGTTACTCGAGTCTCCCCAGAGAAAAGACCTACAGGCTCTATCAAGTTCATCGCAACACTGTTTAGGGAAGTAAACTGTTTGCATAGTATAGGTGGGTAATGTAGCAAGGACTGATTTTGAGAGGGTAAGTCGTCCTGCAAATGATAGAGTGTTGGCTTTCCATTTGCTTAGCCGTTTGTTAATATGGTCCATCATCGATTGAAGACTTCGTTTGCTCACCCTTTTGTGATGAAGCTGAACTCCTAAATACTTCCCGAGATCGTCTGTACGCTGATAACCTAGCAAGGAACTGAGTTCGGTCTTCACATTCCAACCCACATTTTTGGAGAAGCAAACCTTAGTCTTCTCCTGACTCACCTTTATTCTCGAGCTTGTACAAAAAAGGTCCAAACATGTCTTGATAATCTCTACCTGCTCTACAGAAGCCTCCGAAAAGAAAATTAAGTCATCAGCAAAAGCAAGATATGTGAGAGGAGGACCTTTTTTTGCGAGCTTAATAGGCTTCCACAATTTCTGTTTTTCAGCAATTTCAATCAAGTGGAATAATCTTTCCATACATAAAACAAAGATATATGGAGATAAAGGATCTCTCTGACAAATACCTCGTGAAGGGGTGAACTCCTTTAAAGCCTCCCTGTTCCAGAGAACCTGCATAGTTGGAGATGAAATACAATACTATAGTTCTTTTATTTACATTTAATTGTTCTGTTAACTTTACATCTTTAATAAATATTAAATAATAGGGAGGAATAGGATGGATGATCATTTTGACATGTAGGGAACTAGAGTGCATTTGGTTCTAGAAAATAATTATTTTGCAACATGATTTTGAATCAATTTTTGACTGATTTAAGACTTGAAACTTGTAAAATTATTTTTCTCTACATAAAATTTTGGCTTAAATATGTTTAAACTATCTTGAATTAGGTTGATTTTCAGATTACTAATTTTTAAATTTTTTTTGTTTAAATTACCTGACTAATATTTTTTTTTCAAATTAGTACCTGACGTTAGTTTTTTTTGTTAAATGATGACGTGGCAGTTGTATGCCATGTCAGCACACAATGGCCACCTCATTTTCCACGTAAATTGCCACGTTACATTTGTAAATTTTTTAAAAAATTAGTTTCGCGCATATGTTGGAAATTTACGAACTCAGAAACCCATTCTCTCATTCATCTTCAACCTTCAGGAACTCACAAAACCATGTTTGAAAATTGTTCCTTTTTGATTTTGAAAATATTGAAGTTGTAATTCGTTTTGATTTTCGTTTTCATTCTCCTTTTTCGTGAAGTTGCTCCGTTTTTGTGTTTCTTCAATTTGGGAACGCGCATTGTATGTGGTTGTTTGTTCCTTGGGTTAGAAGTTTGAAGCACCATTCTTCGATGACCATTTGTGGAGGTGAGATTTTGTAGCCATAAATAGAGGTAGTTGTTGTCATTGTTGAAGGATTGCCAAAGTTGTTCTGGACGAAGCCCCTTGCCATTCTCCATCTGTGTTGAAGGTAAGTGGTTGGTTATGTTATTAGGGTTTACAATTTGATAGCCTTTAACTGTTCTGTTGTTAAGGTTTTTTTGACTCAAAGATTTTGTAGCCAAAAAGGAACAATTTTCAAACATGATTTTGTGAGTTCCTGAAGGTTTAAGATGAATGAGAGAATGGGTTTCTGAGTTCGTAAATTTCCAACATATGTGCGAAACTAATTTTTTAAAAAATTTACAAATCTGACGTGGCAATTTACGTGGAGAGGTGACCATTGTGTGCTGGCATGGCATACAACATTGGGCGATGACGTGATAGTCCGTTTGTCACGTTATCATTTAACAGAGGAAACTAACGTCAGGTATTAATTTGAAAAAAAATATTAGTCAAGTAATTTAAACAAATTTTTTTTAAAAAATAATAATCCGAAAATCGACCTAATTCGAGGTAATTTAAACATATTTAAGCTTAAAATTTTTAATGAAACAAATTTTAAGTCATAAACAAAAGATTTATTCAGAATCGTGTTTTAAAATTTAAAATAATCATTATTTTAAGAAAACAAAATGGATCCAAATTTTTAGGATATTAAATACGCCCACAACCCTAATCGTAGTTAGTGTGTCAACAACCATGTATTCATACACTTCGTAATCTCAATTTTTTAAAGTTTTAGAATACTGTTCATGTGTTTGTAGACACAGCATTTTTAGTTTCTTTCACTGTCCCATTTAGGCCTTTTGTTAGATAAGAGAAAAAGGTAGCACCTGTCTGTCTTTTTTCTTTCTTTCTGTTCGTGTTTATATTTTTAGGTGATTTGAATTTGAAGTTCAATGTCTTAATTTACCTGTTATCTTAAACTTTTTCTCTGCTGTTGATTTGAAAGTGCTGTAGGAGAGAACATGTCCTCAAAAAGGGAAAGGGAAGCTGTTGATAGAGTAGAGGATGAAGGGCTTGATAATGAGTCAAAGAGGCAGAGGCTGGATGACGATTCCTCCCCCTCTCCACCTCCTGTCTCCATTGCAAATCCTCTTTCTGGGTTGGCCAATAATTATGCTGACATTGATGAGGAGGAAGATTATGTTAGAAGGGAAAGGGGTTCTGTTAATGAGAGGAGGAATGATGGATCCCAGCATAATGGACATAGATATGGAGAGGCTGATGATAGTGATGAAGAAGATGATTCACGTGAACAATTTAGTGGAAGAAACAATCGCCAGGTTGAGGTTCGGAAGGACTGTCCTTATCTTGATACTGTTAATAGACAGGTATTTGACTGATCTTGTTCATTGTTGACTGTAATTTTGCTGGTTTTCATGCACATTTGAATTTTGACAACATTCATGTGCAGGTTTTGGATTTTGACTTTGAGAAATTCTGTTCTGTCTCCCTGTCCAATTTAAATGTGTATGCATGTTTGGTTTGTGGGAAGTATTACCAAGGGAGAGGGAAGAAGTCTCATGCATATACACATAGTCTGGAAGCAGGACACCATGTTTATATCAATCTCCGGACTGAAAAAGTCTACTGTCTTCCTGATGGTTATGAAATTAATGACCCTTCTTTAGATGACATTCGGCATGTCTTAAATCCAAGGTTGGTCCAATTTTATTTTTTGGCTGTGCTTGCTGCAGACAATTTTTTAGCTACATATTTCTGTTTCTATTGTCATCAATTATTGGCTGGTGACAACAATTATATTATCACCTTTCGTTCAATGTATGTCACCAGTTGGCTGCTTAGAGAGTTTTTTTTTTTCCATTTGTCTCCCCTTAGAAAAATGATTTTAATCCATTCTAGAAGGTCAAAATTCATGTTATGGACCTCCCAAAATCAAGTAAGTGTTTCTGCTTGAGGGTTGTGTTTAAAGTGGTCATCTGCCTACACAAAGTTTGTGAGGTTCTCATGTTTGAGCCTTGTCTTGGACACTTTGTGGATAGGTGAGATTGGATCCTCAGTGTTGTTAAACGCCCCATCACTCTATTCTAGGGCCAGTGGTGATCCCCAAACAATGCCTCTGTCTTATATTAGGGATTTACCTCTGCTGTTCACACCAATCTTGGAATCCCCTTCTATTTACCCATCAAAAGGTGTTTTGCGTGGCGGCATGAGGAATAATTAATTACTTTATGCTTGTTTATTTTGTCACTGTTGTTAATATTTTTCTCTTCATTATAAACTAATTAAACAAGGATGTTTGTTTTTATAGGTGCTGGGTTTGGGCTATGGATTATATGCTTATCATAAGTTATTATTTAATAAATTCAGTTACCTGCTTAGCATCTTTGTTATGCATTTATCTACTATTTTCTGCCTGTGGATGTACCAAACTGCTTATAACAACTTGCTTGTAGTTTGATGTTCATTGGTCACTTCCAGTCACTGTAAAAAATCATGCTTCATTTTTTCTCTAATTCAGAATAACATTGAAATATTTAAATTTTACCATTAATTAAGTTTTCGTCATTATCTTTTATATTATGATTCCATGTTCTCTTTATGCTGTCATTACCTTACCTTGAATTCTTTAAATGATTGACTACTAAAATACATGATTTAAGTGCATTCATAATGATCTCTACCTGCAGATTCACTGCAAAAGAAGTTGAACAACTTGACAAAAATAAGCAGTGGTCTAGGGCTCTTGATGGTTCTAGTTACCTTCCTGGAATGGTATATTTTGCATGCTTATAAAAATGAAATTTTGAATATTTTTGAAAGGCTTTTAGGTGTTTTATGGCCTAAATTTATCCATTATACCATGACTTTTCAGGTGGGACTTAATAATATCAAGGAGACTGATTTTGTAAATGTAACAATTCAATCATTAATGAGAGTTACCCCCTTGAGGAATTTTTTCCTTATCCCTGAAAATTATCAACACTGCAAATCTCCACTTGTTCATCGATTTGGTGAACTCACTAGGAAGATCTGGCATGCACGGAACTTTAAAGGACAGGTTTGTTTCTGATAAATTCATTGTATATTATATTATTATAGTTTGGTGGTGGCTTGACTTTCAAGATGCAAGTCAACAGGTCAGCCCACATGAGTTTCTACAAGCAGTGATGAAGGCCAGTAAAAAAAGGTTTCGGATAGGTGCACAATCTGACCCAGTTGAGTTCATGTCATGGCTTCTTAATACCCTGCATGCAGATCTTAAGACTTCAAAGAAGAATACCAGCATCATCTATGAGTGTTTTCAGGTTCTTATCCACTCTAATTTTCTTCTCTTTTGGTTGACTTGTTGCTGCTGGCTGCAACTATTCACTTAAGTTGTTTGTTGTTTTTACTGTGCTTGCAGGGTGAACTTGAGGTTGTGAAAGAGATTCCTAACAAAGTGATAGCAGATAAGAAAGAGAACAATGAAGACCAAAACAATGGCAAGAAACTTTCTGATGGGGTAAATGAACGATATGCATTTGTCAAAGAAACTTCAAAAATGCCATTTCTAATGTTAGGGTTGGACTTGCCACCACCACCTCTTTTCAAGGATGTGTTGGAAAAAAATATAATACCACAGGTACTGTGCCACTGAATGCTATGTGCCTTTTACATATGAGATGCTATAGTTGATAATGATGTAATTAACATTGAAGTGATCCTGCTATGAAGTTTGAATCTTGTCATTTGGGCTGTAATGTTATATCTAAGAGATGTGTAAAAATAAGAAAATTGTGGATAACCGAAAGAATGTTTTGACACCAATACTGATGGCCTATTGCCACTTATAAACCATTATTTAAAAGCAAAGCAAGTAGTTTGTGATAGGAACTGAGTGTAAGGAGCAGTAGTGTGTAGAAAATAATTGCTGGTAGTTATGTATTTGGAATATATATTTGATTTATGTTGTGTAATTAGGGGATTGAAGTTATTTGTAGTTTGTGGACAGAGAATACTCTCTGTAGGAGACTTTTGTCTCTGGGACAGCAAGTGTGTTGCTTTATTATATGTGATAGGAGATTTGTCTATGGGACAACAAGTTTATTGCTGTAGTGTGTGTGATTTCAGTGTTCAATATTATATTTTATTAGTTTTATCAATTGGTGGTCTGCCAGTTTGTAAGATTTACTTGACTGATTATGCTTATGTGATGCATCCTTTGGATTTTTACAACGTGAGTCTGGTTGTTTACCATGGCTACATGGACTGCATCTTGGCTGTTATTTACAATCTCACCCTTATGCGCATATATTTTGTATAATACTGTGCATATTTTGATTTAGGAGACTTGAATGATTAATCTAAATTCTAAAGCATTTGACAATGATTATTTTCCCCTGTTAAGTTTTCAGCATTACTCACTATTTGTATTTGTCTACTTGAAAAAGGAGAATGATTTTTATTATTATTAATTTAAATTGTATTACATTTTCCTAACACCTATTTGTAACAATCTAATCTTCGAAAATAAGGAAATAAGGAAAAATATTCTGAAAAATAAACTAGAAGATTCTACGGATATTTTCTCTAATTAAGAAGATTTTCCTCTAATTACAACACTCCCCTTCAAGTTGGTAAATGAATATCAATCATTCCCAACTTGCCTACAAGATCTTGAAATCTACCCTGAGGGAGCCCTTTTGTAAAAGTATCTGCTATCTGAAGTTCTGTAGGAACATGAGTTGTTATTACAAAGCCTCTGTCCAGATTATCTTTGATGAAATGTCTGTCAATCTCAATGTGTTTGGTCCTATCATGTTGTACTGGATTATGGGCAATGCTCATGGCAGACTTATTGTCACAGTATAGTTGCACGGGGTTGTCCACCTTGACTTTAAGGTCATCCAAAATGATTTTCATCCAGAGTCCTTCACACATTCCTTGAGCAAGGGCTCGGAATTCAACTTATGCACTAGAACAAGATACCCTATCTTGCTTTTTGCTCCTCCACGTTACCAGACTATCTCCAAGAAACACACAATACCCAGAAGTAGATTTTCTGTCAGTAATAGAACCTGCATAGTCAGCATCAGCATATATTTTCATAGTCAATGTATCTTCCCTTTTGAACAATAGCTCTTTTCCTGGACTTGACTTTAAGTACTGGAGAATTTTGTCAACTGCTTGAATGTGTCTCTCTCTTGGATCATGCATAAATTGGCTCACCACACTAACTGCATAAGCAATGTCTAGTCTTGTGTGTGATAGATAAATCAATTTTCCAACTAATCTATGATATTGGGCCTTCTCTACAGGAGCACTTTCTTCACTTCCAATTCTGTGATTTTGCTCTATAGGAACTGTTGAGGTTCTACATCCCAGCTTTCCTGTTTCTTTGAGGAGATCAAGTACATATTTCCTTTGGGAAATGAAAATTCCGTTCTTGGAATAAGCAACCTCTATTCCAAGAAAATACTTGAGTTTTCCTAGGTCTTTCATTTCAAATTGGGCTGCCAATTTTTCTTTTAATGCCAATTTTTCTGTTTCATCATCTTCTGCAATAATCATATCATCTACATAGACAAGCAATAGAGTGAGTTTACCTGTAGAAGAGTGCTTTATGAATAGAGTATGATCTCCTTGGCTTTGTCTGTATCCCAAGGAAACCATTGCTTTTGTAAATCTTCCAAACCATGCTCTAGGGGATTGCTTAAGACCATACAATGCTTTCTTTAAGAGACATACCTTATTTCTTTCATTTTGCACTTCAAAACCTGGGGGAATCTCCATGTACACTTCCTCTTCCAGATTTCCATGAAGAAAGGCATTCTTCACATCCAACTGGTATAAGTCCCAACCAAAATGAGTAGCCAAAGCGAGAACAACTCGAACTGTATTCATCTTTGCCACTGGGGCAAAGTCTCCTCATAGTCAATCCCATAAGTTTGGGTATAGCCTTTTGCCACCAATCTAGCTTTATATCTTTCTATTGTCCCATCTGCATTATGTTTCACTGTGAATATCCATCTACATCCTACTGCCTTCTTGTCTCTTGGCTTATCAACAATCTCCCAAGTTGAATTTCTTTCTAATGCATTCATCTCTTCTTTCATGGCTCGAGTCCAATGTTCAAGTTTCATGGCCTCCTGGATTGAGGTAGGAATTTCTGTGGCATCAATGGCAAATAAAACTTTTGTGCTTATCAGAGAGATTGTTAGTGCAAACATATCGAGAAATAGGATATTTAGTGCATGACCTTCTTTCCTTTCTCAATGCAATGGGTAAATCCTCAGTAATACTTACCTCCTCACTGTTATCTTCAAGGATCCTCACCTCCGGATTAGACAATTTTTCTTGCTCGAGAATCGAAGTGGGTTGTTTTCTTCTTTCATATTTTGTCAAAAAATTTGTCTTCCTCTTCTTTTGCTTCTTCCTCGCTGTGGACCATGGTAGCTTCATAACTCAGATCTTGGGCATCCTGCAAAGACAGATATGGTAATGACAAGAAGGAGAGCTCCTCCACTTCAAGTGTTTTCTCCCCCTGAAGTGGTGGACTGACATAAAAGGATTGTGTTTCATGAAAGGTGACATCCATGGTGATAAAGACGCGACGACTCTGAGGATGATAACATTTGTACCCTTTTTTATTAGAAGGATACCCAATAAAGACACATTTAAGAGCTTTGGGATCTAATTTACTACGATTAGGATGATGAGAGTGAACAAAAAAAGTACATCCAAAGACTCGACTAGGTAGACTCGATATTAGAGGGCAAGAGGGAACAAAAGACAATAGAGACTCTATAGGACTAATGCCATTTAAGATACGGGTGGGTAACCTGTTGATGAGATATGTGGCGGTTAACACAGCTTCTCCCCAGTAATTTTTTGGAACAGACATTTGAAAAAGAAGAGCTCTAGTTACTTCTAGAAGATGACGATTCTTTCTTTCTGCAACCCCGTTTTGTTGAGGGGTGTTTACACATGTTAGTTCATGAACAATACCATTATGAGACAAAAAATTAAGAAATTCATGATTCACATATTCAGTACCATTATCAGACCTGATTCTTTTGATATTTTTTCCAAATTGATTTTGGACCAGACGGAAAAAATTAACAAAGATTTGGAAAACTTCTGATTTATTTTTCATAAGGTATGTCCATGTGACACGGGTACAATCGTCAATAAAGGTAACAAACCATCTAGCTCCGGAAATAGATTCTACGACAGGTCCCCAAACATCAGAGTGAATTAAATCAAATGGAGAAGTACTCTTTTTATTACTAATAGGATAGGATGCACGATGGTGTTTTGACAATTGACAAATATCACAATTAAAAGACTCAATAGACTCCTTAGTAAACAAATGAGGAAATAAGGATTTAAGAAGGTTGAATGAAGGATGCCCAAGTCTTTTATGATGTAGCCATATTTGGGAATTTGCCCACGTTTCAGATGTAGCTTGTTGACTTATGATTTTTGTTTTGTTTTGGTCATCAGATTCCAACAAATACAACCCACTCTGCTCCTTAGCAGTTAAAATCGTCTTCCTCGTAGCAAGGTCCTGAAAAACACAATGAGTTGAGAAAAATGTTACTGAACAATTTAAATCTTTTGTGAGCTTTTGCACAGAGATAAGATTATTGGCTAATTGTGGAACATGTAAAACATCCTTTAATACAATAGATGATTCCAAAATTATATTCCCAGAGCCGCATATGGGTACACCTTGACCATTCGCAACTGTAATAAGTTGTTCTCTATTCCTTTGAATATATGATTTGAAGATCATACGAAAAGGTGTCATATGATCAGTTGCTCCTGAATCAAGAATCCAAATAGCTTGAGACACAGGACCACAGTATGGAGAGAACTCTTACCTTTCATGGACAGAGTACATGGTCGAGAGGGCTTACTTATTGATTCAATCATTGCTTTCAAACGATCTAGTTCCTCTTTAAAAGCTTTCATCTCAAAAATTTGATGGTGGTAACTTAATGGATTGATTCGGTGACTCTGTCTATGGCGACAACAATGAGTGGGCCGTGGAACGGATTTAGGAGGCTTCGGCAACCAGTTCTGTGACAGCAGCGACGAGTGGGTCTCGTCAGAGCTAGGCGCGTGGGATGTCACCGGAAAAGGAGTAACACTCAAAACTTAGATCTACTCAAATCTGCGCCAAATGGGACGTCACCGACCTGTGGAATGGACTTAGGAGGCTCCGACGACTCTTTCTGTGACGACGGCGGTGAGTGGGTCTCGTCGGAGCTGGGCGCGTGAGTTACACGCGCCGGCGGCGCGTGGAGGCGTATTGCTCGAAGCAAATTCCGGCGTTGTGTTCGCCGGAGTTGGGCGCACCTTTCTGCCCTATCAACAACCCCAACGGTTACGGTGGCAGCCGCAGTGGCCGGACAGCGGCGGCGGTGGCTACTGTTGCAGCGGAAACGGAGCTCCCAAGATCGGGAGCTCTGATACCAACTTGAAAAAGGAGAATGATTTTTATAATTATTAATTTAAATTGTATTACATTTTCCTAACACCTATTTGTAACAATCTAATCTTCGAAAATAAGGAAATAAGGAAAAATATTCTGAAAAATAAACTAGAAGATTCTACAGATATTTTCTCTAATTAGGAAGATTTTCCTCTAATTACAACAGTCTTGACAAAAAAATTTATAATTTAACAAAAAAATTGTACTGAAGAAAAATCATAGTTAAAAGAGAACATCTAACCTTGATCAATGACTTTTTGTGGTCCATGACACAAGTAATAACCTTCAAGGGCCAGTTGCATCCTTCTCTACAAAAATAATATTGTCCATAACTTGCATGAGGAAGTTCAGAGAAAAATCATATGAACCACCTGATCAACACTTACTTTTTTGTTGAAATTACAGCCATGATTTTAGTGTAATAAATGCTCTTCTTTCACTTCTTAATGCATTGTTATAGCCAGTATAAAATGGTTTATCTAGTTATTTGCTGTCTGAATTTTTATTTTTTTTTGTTTCTTTTTACATAATGTGGGATTTCCCAGTACACTTGTATGAGGAAACATGCTTCTAGTTGTATATTGACCTAGTTC